TGGAGGTATCATTAAAGAAACAATCATTGTTGGTTTTGTTAGTGTTCAGTGAATAGTTGGGAGCTGTGGGGATGCAGCTCTCCTGCCTCCCCTCTCTATCATGGTGTTACCCAAACTGGAGCCTTTGCACAGGCTGACCTCCATGGAGCCCGTCAGAGCTTAAGCTAGTTCATGGAGACCTTGGAAGGTTGAGTTTTGAAGTGCTCCACGCCGTTTGCTCTACAGCAGTTTGTCCCCTGACCTCATTGCAGCCCACAGTGCCACAGCATAGAGGCAGTCCCAGGAAGGCCTGGGTGTACGGATGAAGATTGCCGCCGCAGACGCCCGTCTCTTCAGCCTTCACTAAGATGCCAGGGCTGTGGTACTGGGGAGGAACCCCTGCCATGCAGCTAGGGCACAGGTTCTTCCTGCTGCGAGGTGCTCTAGACAGCTAGACTCTGAGTGAGAGTTAAGATGTCTCCTTGTCTTAGGTTCTTGGGGGCTAGCAGAGCCCTGCCAACTTCAGTCAGTGCTTGATAAGAAGAGAATAATGTCCTTGAACCCCCCTGGCAGGTGGTGGTACCAGGGTGTCTGACCCCAGGCTTGTTTCCCACTTGCTACCTCATCTGCCTCATCTGCAGGGCAGGCTAGTCCCTGCTTCCAGAGTGGAGACTCGAAGCATTTAACAAGCCCACTCATTGTCTGTCTTTTCTTCCCAGCTTGAGAAGAGTGACTGCCCCATCTTCGGCCCTTATCTTTATACCTCTGGACATTTGGGGAGCCTGGCGACGGGAGGCTGTGCTCCGGGCACCCTGCTCTCAGTTTTCTCACAGGATCTGCACTGGACTTGGGATAAACACGTCCTGGGTTGGGCAGGGTAGGACTGGAGGTGGTCGTGGCTGAGAGTTTGAGCTGGTATGGACTGTGCTGATGTTTACAGTAGCCTGGTCTGTTACCCTCTGAGAGCCACACAGTGGGTGGGAGTCATCTTGATCCGAGTTTTTCTCTTTTTTCATTTTGCCACAAGACAGAATTGTATCACACATCTCCAAAACGAGTAAAATGGCATTTCAGCTTCTTGTCTTTATAGACTCTCTGAACTTTAGGAAAGATCATTCTGGTCCCTTTTCATTAATAATGAAAACCAGGGGACAATAAAATGTTCTTAGTGTGAGCATGGCAGGAATGCGAGCCGTGAGGGTGAAGGGTGAGGCTGCAGGACCACAGGTGTTTCTCAGGGCTCAGGAGCGCAGAGCTCTGGAAAGTGGGGCAGCTGTTGGAGGGTCCTGGTCCTTATCCCACACACCAGCGTCTGCTCAGCCTCAGCAGCCCAAAGGCCGAGAAGGCTGCACTTCTTATGGTGGGATGTTTGCAGGCAAGCAGAGGAATCCAGCAAACTCCAGGTGCTGGTCAAGTTTTCAGCCCAGTCACAGCTGCTTTCTTGCCAGAGGCTTCATGGTATCCGTGAAGTGAATATGGTTTTTGGGCCATGGGCCCCATTCTGCACTTGTTCTGCCTGAGGATTTGGGCTACACAGAGGGATATTCCGAGCATGGATGAAAGCCCTCCCAAGCAGGGACTCAGAGAGAGGGGAGGGAACAAGTTGCTTTGTCTTCACTTTTTTCTCCTGAAAATGAACTTGCAGTAGATATTACGTTTTGCATCTGGAGTGCCAAGCAAAGCTGGCAGAAGAGGGGAGACAGAAGAGACACCTGATTGGGACTCCCAGTGCCCGGCTCCTTGGGGTCAAGGTGAAAGATCTGTCTACCTCCGTGGTCTCAGAGCTCCTTGTGTAACGAGGGTGATTTGTGTCGGGTGGGGGTATCCACCATCAGGTGAAGCAGCGCTGTTCCCTTCCACGGCCGTTTCTCAGACACCAAGTGTCACTGCACTGCCTGGGAAGGGAGTGGGGAAGTCCTTGCTAACCATCACACAAATCCCGGAACCCAAAAAGAATAGATTGATAAATTTGTATAAAAACCTCTGCATGCTACAAAACATGAGCAGAGTCAAAAGAAAAATCAACCAGAGAAGACGTTTGCCATGCAGATCACAGACAACGGGCTAATATCCCTGCTACATAAAAAGTCTCTCTAAAGTGACAAGGGAAAAGAAATCAAGTAGAAAAGTGGAGAGCATACAGTACACCAAAAAGGAGATGCTGACGAAAACATGCTCAATCCTCTCTCAGGATGAGATCAATGCAGATTAGAACTAGGGTGAACTTCTGCTTTCCTGCTGTGGTACTGGCAGGAGTCTCTGCGTGTGAGTCGTGCGTTGTGTGGGTGCAGCCGTGGGGAAGTAGGCGTTGTGCAGGGGCTGCGGGTGAATTATTGGCCCCATGGAGGCAGCGTGGCAGCATTTCTCAAAACTGCAAATGCACAGGCCCTGAGACCAGCCTCTGGGAGTTCTGAGGTTCACGGGTCCGCACGTCCCAGGTGGGAGATGGCACATGTGCATGTTGTCGATGGCAGCGTGGTGCACAGTGGTAGAAAGTTGGAAATGAGCTGAATGCCCATCAGAGGGCAGGTGACGTGAAATATCCTGCAGCTATAGGAAACGATTGAGAGATGTGGAAATGCGAAGGAAGAGAAGACCTCCTGTGCCACCTTAGATGTGCGCACAAACTCTCCGGAAGGATAAATGTAAGACTACTAATGGCTGTCGGTGGTGGGGAAGCCTTTTTGTCATGGACTGACCTGTGCTATTTGATGTGTAAACTGTATGCATGTTACCAATTCAAAAAGTGTGAAACAGAAATGGGAGTTGGGGACTGAGGGAGAGGCCATATGTTGATTACAGTTTTGGGACCGAGATTCCAGGCCTAGGACATATTGGGGAATCTGGCATGGAATCTGCAGGCAGGGAGGGAGTGTAGTGGCCAAGGAGAGGCTCTAGGCCCTCCAGGCCTGTCCTCTCTGCCCCCTGAGAGCACCATTCAGCAGCCCTGGGGGAGGGGTGTCTCTTGTCCACTCAGAGGACTTTGCAACTTGGATCCTCTTGGTTGGCTGTGTGCCAGCAGCCACATCGCGCCCTGAACTGAAAGAAAGAATGGGCCTCCTCCTCCCCTCTGGTCATGTAACACCAGGGCATGGCAGGTACCTCTGAAAACTTATAGGCACAGGTGAGAAGTGAGGACAGAAATCTCTCAAGCAGCAAGAGCTTCGCTGGGCCATGTTGACACTCCATCTGAGAGTTCAGAACACTGCTGTTCTCCCCACTTCTCCTTCCTCCCGAGTGAGCAGCACACGGCAGGGCTCCTTCCGGATAACTCTCCACTGGCGCTGTGATCGCCTTCCCCACTGGTCTGTGTCCCACCACGCCTCTCCTGATGGCAGATCCCTCGGGGGGAGGCAGAGCACCCACCAGGTGGCCTGGAGATGGCAGCTCCAGAAAGGTGTTCACAGTGGAGACGGGGCCCTCCTGCATGCCTCAGAGGGTCAGATGAGGTGTGGACATGGGAGCACTTGGTGAACTGTACATGGGAAAGTGTGAAGGTGGAAACTCCCCCTCCCGTCCCCCCGTCAACTGGAATTGCATTCAGGAGGGCACTTTGGCACTTTGGTATGTGCCATTCTAAAGAGAACCGGGGCTGGGCACAGCTTGGGAAGCTGAGGTGAGAGGATTCCTTGAGCTCTGGGCTACAGTGTGCTGTGCAGATGGAGGTCTGCACTAAGTACTGCATTAATATGGGTGACCTTCTGGAGCAGGGACCACCAGATTGCCTAAGGAGGTCGGAAATGGAGCCAGTCAAAACTCCCATTCTGATCAGCAGTGGGACATGCCTATAAATCGCCGCTCTACTCCAGCCTGGGCACCATAGCAAGAGCTCAGCTCTAAAAAGATTAATTAATTAATATAAATAAAGAGAACGGGGCCAGGTGCTCTCCTCCGTGCAGACTGGCTATCTCCACAGCAGCAGCTAGGTAGTCTCCAGGGACAGTGCTCAACTCCCTTCCTGCCCTCTGTGCTGGTCCCAGTCTGTCTCCACCTCCGTGGACCCTTGCAGCAGCCTCACCCCAGCTCTCCTGCCTCTGTGGCCCCCACTTCTGGCCACCCTTAGAGCCACCCCAGTGCTATTCTCCAGGGCCATGGCATGACCTGACTCCCATTGCTCATGGAAGAATATTCAGCTTCCTTGACCACACAGTCCACCTGGCCCCACCTTTCCCTCTTTCCTGCCCCACCCCGGCCTCCACTGTACCTGCAGCTTCCTTGGCTTTTGTCCACTTTCCCCAACACTCTGCTCTTGGGGTCCTCAGGGCCACAGCAGCTCTCCTCTTCCATCAGGCCCAGGGTGCTCACCTGGTCTGCCCCCACCTAGCGTCTCCTCTCTGAGCTTGCTCCCCTCCAGCCTCCAAGGGCCTCAGGGCTCCTCCAAGGCCCTGCCCACCCCTGCTCCTCTCCCCTGCCACCCCCATCTCTTTGTGATAGTTGTTCTTACTCTCTGAAGTCTTGCTTGGTCATTTGGAGACTGTGTTTTCTCTCCCCTGGCTCCAAGTGAGAGCAGGGCCGGGAGGTTTAATTTACCACAGTCCACCCAGGTGCCCCCAGCCAGTGTACCACGGTCCCCTCCCCACTTCGCTGAGGCCCTGCTTGGTTCTGCTATGGCCCCCAGCCATAGCAGGGCATATGTGGGTGTATTTATGCTCCCCCAAATGTACTCACATTATCCTCTCTGGATTTTGTTTCTGAGGTAGAGACCATGCCGTCGGTCTTCATATCACCTTTGCCACCTGACTCCCCAGTCAGGGCTCAGCTCACTGCTAGATACCTCACCCACAGCCTGCCATCAGGGTTGGGTGAATGGCGTCCCTGTATTCCAGTTGAGGCAGTGGGAACAGGAGGGGACGGAGCCAAGCTGCTGTTGTGATGATCATGTGTTGCCTTCCTGCAGCGGAGTGTCCCACTTGCTCATCATTGGAGGCAAAGAGACTGTGCCACTGAGGCCTGTGTGCCAGTCCCCACCGGGGGAAGGATGCCATCTGTCCTTTCTAACCCTCCTCCTCTTCCGCCCTCAGGCCCCGCAGGCTCCCGATGGCGAGATTACGGCGCCCTGGCCATCATCATGGCAGGCATTGCATTTGGCTTTCACCAACTCTACAAGGTGAGTCTCCTCCAACGGCCGTGGGTGCTGTGCCCCTGCTGCCCTGTGGCATTCAACTCTCTTTCACTGGCTCCTGGGTGGAGGCACTGCCATGCTCTGCCCTGGAGCTGCTTGGCAGCAAGTGGCTGTGGTAGATGTCAGGGTTCACAGCTGGATTGAGGTCCCCCCTTTTCTCCAGTGCTCAGCATGCGCTACCCAGTTCTCTGCCTGCAGGGGCATTGTCAGGTTGTCCCTTGCCATCTTGTGCCAGCCACTTAGAGTAGTGCCGGCACAGGAAAGCTGTGCAAGAAGTTTTGGGACACAGAAATACATAATGGCAAAGAGCATGGACGCTGGACCAGCTGCTGCTGAGCCCTGCCCCTGCCCCTGCCCCTCAGGAGCTTGGTGAACACAGGCTGTGTTCTCATCTGTAAGATGGGTATAACAGTCCCCACCTCACGAGATTGTCGTGAAGATCTGGAGAGTCAGTGCTCCTTTGTAGAGGCTCAGCCATGCCTGGCACATGGAAGTATATACCATTGTCCTGCATGGCATTTAAGAGTAGCAGAAACTCTGTCTCTATCAAAAAAATACAAAAATTAGCTGGGCATGGTGGTGTGCATCTGTAGTCCCAGCTATACTTGGGAGGCTGACGTGGGAGGATCACTTGGGCTTGGGAGGCAGAGGTTGCAGTGAGCTGAGATCACACTACTGCACATCAGTCTGGGTGACAGAGGGAGACCCTGTCTCAGTTTCAAAAACAAAACAACCCAGGCACAGTGGCTCACGCCTGTAGTCCCAGGACTTTGGGAGGCTGAGATAGGCAGATCACTTGAGGTCAGGACTTTGAGATCAGTGTAGCCAACAAGTGAAATCCTGTCTCTACTGAAAATACAAAAATTAGCCAGTGTCATGGCATGCACCTAATCCCAGCCACTCAGGAGGCAGAGGCAGGAGAATCGCTTGAACCCGAGAGGCGGAGGTTGCAGCAAGCCTGCAGTGAGCCAAGATTGTGCCACTGGACTCCAGCCTGGGTGATGGAGCGAGACTCCATCTCAAACAAACAAACAACCAAAACAGAACAAAAACGCATTCTGGGATCTGGAACTTCTCTGAACTGGTGCCTCCTTCAAATCGCTGACTGCATGCAAGCACCAAGAAGAATGCGACACTATCGCAAAATCCTCAAATGAATGCCTCACTGTACTGAGCCCTAGGCACTGTCACATTGCCACCTATGGCAGGTCTGTGGCCTGACGGGATCCAGAGGGCAACTCGCAGCTCACCTTGATGTGGGCATTCACCGGAGCTGCCACCCATGGTTTCTACGAAGCTCTGGCCTCTCTGCTCTGCTTTAAAAAAGAAAAGAAATGCTGCAATATCAGTCACAATGGTAACAAGAGAATTTCTAAAATATCTGCTCAGTTTCTTGAAATTAAAAAAAAAAAGAAATGGTAAGAAGCCCTCATCTTGCTTTATAGGCACGTGAAGACTTCGGCTCGGGCAGCGCGTCTGCTCCTTCCCTTAGGACTTCAGAGCTCAGAAATGGCGTATTTGGTTGGTTACAGACGCACGAATGAGAATTTTTTTTTTTGAGACAGGGTCTAACTATGTTGCCCAGGCTGGAGTGCAGTGGTGCTATCTCAGCTCACTGCAACCTCCGCCTCCTGGATTCAAGCGATTCTCCTCCCTCAGCTTCCCGAGTAGCTGGGCTTACAGGTGTCCGCCACCATTCCTGGCTAATTTTTGCATTTTAGTAGAGATGGGGTTTCGCTGTGTTGGCCAGGCTGGTCTTGAACTCCTGACCTCATGATCCACCTGCCTCGACCTCCCAAAGTGCTGGGATTACAAGTGTGAGCCACCACGCCCACCTGAGAATTCTTTGCCTTTCATACTGAGGACATTTCATCCTGAAGTATAGGGCTACTTATGATGAGTTTTGGCTCAGTTGTGGGTAATAGCTCACGCTGTGGTTGAAAGCACTTTGCAAAATAGAAAATGTGTCTATACATGTGCTACTGAAGAATGATCACTTAGGAGTCACTCTGGAAATGAGTTCCCACAAACCCCTTACAAGAGACCTTCTTTTCCTTTCCTTTCCCCGTACAGAAATTGTAATGGAGAAGTTTCCAACCTCCTTCTTATCTGGGCCCAGGTAGATTAGGAACCAAAGTTCTCCCTGGGTGGCTCCTGCCAGGCCTGTGCCGCATTGCCTCTGGCAGTGCCCGTTGAAGTGGGCAGCTGGTCTCACTCTCCTCACCTGGGGAGCTTTGTTTTCACGTCCTGAGTAGCTGGATGTCAGTGTACATGTTCTTACATGCAGCTGTCCCTGCAGGCCCTGCCACCCACCTCCATCCTCCACACCCTCACCTCCATCCTCCACACCCCCACCTCCATCCTCCACACCCTCACCTCCATCCTCCACACCCCCACCTCCATCCTCCACACCCCCACCTCCATCCTCCACACCCCCACCTCCATCCTCCACACCCCCACCTCCATCCTCCACACCCCCACCTCCATCCTCCACACCCTCACCTCCATCCTCCACACCCTCACCTCCATCCTCCACACCCTCACCTCCATCATCGACACCCCCACCTCCATCCTCCACACCCCCACCTCCATCCTCCACACCCTCACCTCCATCCTCCACACCCCCACCTCCATCCTCCACACCCCCACCTCCATCCTCCACACCCCCACCTCCATCCGCCACACCCCCACCTCCATCCTCCACACCCCCACCTCCATCCTCCACACCCCCACCTCCATCCTCCACACCCCCACCTCCATCCTCCACACCCCCACCTCCATCCTCCACACCCCCACCTCCATCCGCCACACCCCCACCTCCATCCTCCACACCCCCACCTCCATCCTCCACACCCCCACCTCCATCCTCCACACCCTCACCTCCATCCTCCACACCCTCACCTCCATCCTCCACACCCTCACCTCCATCATCCACACCCCCACCTCCATCCTCCACACCCTCACCTCCATCCTCCACACCCCCACCTCCATCCTCCACACCCCCACCTCCATCCTCCACACCCTCACCTCCATCCTCCACAACATCACCTCCATCCTCCACAACGTCACCTCCATCCTCCACACCCTCACCTCCAAGGCAACCAAGAGCATGCGTTGCCAGCCATGCCCTGCCTGCCTCCTTCCTGAACTGCCCCCTAGCGTCCCTGGTTCTAGGCCCCTGTGAGGGATGGCCCTGTTTCTTTTTTACCAGAGCCAGTTTCTTCTGGTCCTGTGCCCTCCTCTCCCTCTGCCCTGTATTTCAGTTCTGGGAAACTCAACTTCTTTTGACTCTTACATGAAGGAAGTTTGTTCAGAGAATTCAGGCTTAATTCGGAAAAAGACGGAGGTGACCTCTTTCAGCAGCCCCAGAGCACTCATGTTATCCCCTGGCAAGAGAACCAAGGGTCCCAGAGATGTGGTGTTCCTTTTCCTTTAGTTTCTCCAGTCGTTTTTTGTTGATTAGTTTTACTCATTTGTTTCTGAATAGGTGATTCATTCACAGGTTCAAAATGTTCACCATCTAGGAGAATGTGCCTGGAAGAGCTCCCCCGCCTCCTCCTCCTCCCCCGCCTCCTCCTCCTCCCCCGCCTCCTCCACCTCCCGGAGGCTCCAGCAGTGTCTGTTGCTCGGGTGTCCATCCACAGTTGTGTCTTACAACTTTGACAGTAGAGTTTAAAACTTGGTGTTACAGAAATAGTTTAGCATCATTAAGAAAAGTAAATAAAGGACCCAGAAAGTTCCCATCACAGCAGTTCCAGTTGACTCTCCCTGTCCACGTTCCCTCCTGGTCCTTGTCCTTATTCAGGCAGAATTTTTACGTGGTTGTAACTGCAGTCTCATAACTTTTTCAAATATCTTGTTCATTTATGGTGTTTGCTTAGGGTTTCCAAAACCCGGGGATGACAGGGAGAAAGCTGGGCGGCAGAATTCGAGAGACGGTTGGAGGATAACCCAGGTCCGTATGCATTTCTCAGCCTGTCCCGCTTCTTGCAGAAATACCTGCTCCCCCTCATCCTGGGCGGCCGAGAGGACAGGAAGCAGCTGGAGAGGATGGAGGCCAGTCTCTCTGAGCTGAGTGGCAGCGTGGCCCAGACAGGTAAAGATTAATGACTCCATCAAGTCACCCCTCACAGCCTTCTCCAGGCAGCCCCTTCTCTGCCCCTCCCCTCTCCCTCCGTCTCCACTCTATGTGGTGACTTCATTTATCTGCTCTGAGAATCTGTTCACATTTGCAAATGAAGCCGCCGTCATTTCGGTTTAATTTGAAATTGCTTGTTTACTGTCGGCGTGGCCTCAATTAATTATGTTTTTACGGAAAGGCTCCCAACCTCAGAATATTAATAAGGGGAATAAAATGACAGCCTTTCTAAGGGCTGTAAAGTTCATTTTTAATTTCTGCTTCTCTGAGGTTTTCAGGGGGGTTTTCAGTGATTTTCCCCCTTCCCTCTAAGACTCCACTGTGGGGTCAAGAGAGTCTGTAATTACTGTGGCTCCCGGGACCCCGGCCACCTCCCCTGTTATCGACTCAACAGGGCTCGCATTCATTACCCAGTGCCCCAGCAATGGCCCAGATTAGCTGGGACCTGTCTCGCCAGAGGTGGCTTCTCTTCTTTATAAACTTGTTTACTAGACGGCAGCTCTGAATCTAAAAACCAGAGCGAGGCCAATGATAGAGCCACCTGTCCCAGGCAAGAGTCTGTGTCCCTCTGGGGCACATTTGTGAAGCTCACAGAAACCCTCTGATGTGTCTGTCCTGCTGGCATCTGCTCCTGTGAAGCTGACATTGGTGGCAACAAGGCCCTGAGGGGTCACAGGACGCCAGGGAGTTGAGCAGGCAGCCTGGGGTCAGGTGGGGAGGGCAAGAAGGAGCAGTGGGAAACAAGACTTGAGCCACTTCTGGATGTGAATGTGGTGGGGACCCGAGATGCGTCTCTCCTAGGATTGGAGACTCCAGGAGTCTCACAAGGACACTGAGGCCCAGGAGATGAAGGACGCAGGCGCCAGAGAAGCCGAGAGAGCTCAGCAAATCATAGCCAGCTCTAATTAGAGGGGAGAGGTTCTGGACGGATATACTGTTGACCATGGACAACTACACAATGGAAAGATAAAGTGGAAATACTAGAGGTTAGATACAGTGCAGGCAGATCACCCAGAGTGCAGATAAATTAGATGGATTGCGGGGGCTGGGGGCGTCTGCAGATAAATTAGATGGAGCTGGAACATGGGCAGCTCCTAGGTGTGTGGACCGCGCTCGGGGAGCGTCTGTGCCTGCGAATTTACCAGCATTGTGACTGCTTTCTCCTCGCAGTGACTCAGTTACAAACCACCCTCGCCTCCGTCCAGGAGCTGCTGATTCAGCAGCAGCAGAAGATCCAGGAGCTCGCCCATGAGCTGGCCGCTGCCAAGGTATCTGTCTCTGCCCCGAAGGGCCCTCCAGGCGCAGGTCTGCCCCACGTGCCCTTCACTCTTGTCCCTTGGGCCCGGCGTGCCACCTTCAGGAGCTGGGCTTCGTCCCAGTCTCACGGTGGTTACACGGCTGCAGCCGACGCTGCTCTTTCTTTCCTTGTAGAGACAGGAGGCCATTGCTGGGCAGTCAGTGTGACATTTAACTGTCGAGGCCATCCTTTTTCTCTGTGTCATCTCCCAGCAGGAGGAAGGAAAAGCCGCCCGCTGTCTCATGGCAGCCATATCCCCGCAGCTCTGGAGGCTTTGTGTGTAGGCGTGGGACAGCCTCCACCCATAAGTTAGTTTGCAGGTCACAGCATGGCCAGGAGGGGTTCTGGAACAGACAAGGAGAAGCGAGTTGCATTCAGTTCACCAGCAGCAGCCCGTCCACACTGCAGTGCAGCGGGCAGTTTTTCTAGACCTGGGTTTCGCGGGTTCTGGCAACCGTAGGAAGCCACGGCCAACTCCCGAGGCAATGTCCACGCCTCACTGCCCAAGTCCAGGGTCAGGCTGCTTAGGTTATGATCCTGGTCCTGCCACTTGTTAGCTGTGTGGCCACAGGCAAGTTACTTAACCTCTCTGAGTCTTAGTTTCCTCATTTGTAAAATGGAGCCATAATGGTATTTGCTTCGTGGGGCTGTTCACAGGCTCAGAAGGGTGCCTGGCTCCAGCCGGCTCACAGAATTGCAGGTCTGGGTTCTGCGGGTGCGTAACAGGGGTCATCCCTGAGGCGGTGTCAGACAGATGGGGCCCAGGAGACAGTGGCCTGCTGGCTTCACAACACCCACTGGTTCCTCTCTCTGCCCCTTGCCCCACAGCTCTGTGGCCAGGAGGCACTGCTTCCTAGCTGCTCCCACCGCCCAGGCTCTGGAGAGTTTCATCCCAAGTTGCTCACCAGGGAAAGCCATTCCCAGTGCATGGCTAGGCTTGAGCCAGTGCTCAAATCTTTTGCATTTGCAAAACCCACTAAAATGGCAATCTTTGCATTTTCCGTGGAGTCTGGGGTATCTCTTATGAGAGGGTCCCAGGAATCTCCCTCCAGGCATCCAACCGACACACAGAGGTGCCGCCTGACCTTGCTCCTGGGGCGGCTTCGGGTGCTGGTGGCCACTTTTAGCCACTGTGCAATGCATATTCTCTGAGGGTGGCCAGTCCATAAAGCACCAGGAAACCTAGTGCTGGGCCTGCCTGATCTCCTGGGTCAGGTCATCTTTGAGTCCATGGTCTGCCTGTGGCTAGAAGCCATTCTGGAAATTGGAAAACTGTTTTCAGGCCTTACGCATGAGATTAAGACCACGTGTTGTGTTGAAGAAGAAGTGGGGGCCTGGGATGTGCTTGGCGATGAAGGGGGTTGGGCCCTCAGAGGTCCTCTGGCTGGCTCTGTTGCTGCTGTCCCTGGTCTGCCCCAGCCTTCTCTCTCAAGCTGCAGTGGCCACCGGCTTGGCATCTAAACTTGTATGTGTGAGGACTTAGGTTACCCCATAAACCAAAGACCCGGAGCTGTGTTTTCTCAGCTGTAATGTAAATTTTTATATCTGGCTTCCAAACTCCTACTGGAGCACTGTAAAAAAATAAAAAGAAGAGCTTTAAGTAATTTAAAAACCTACATAAAACTGAAGGCTATGAGTTTTCTACAACTGTTTTTTAAAGAGACTGGCTAAAAAGCCCCAGATGTCAGATTTTATTTCTAAATCCTGGCATCTGGCAGCATATGCGTTTGGAAATCTGAGTCCTTTGTAGGCCGGTGAGTGGAAATTGCTCCCTTGTTAATGGGCTGCTGTAGCTTTCAAGGTCTCAGAGAAGCCAGAACAGTGGCTCCTGGGTCCTCCCTGTCTGGTGGTCTGGAGTGGGAACCCTGAGGGGCTGTGTCCGAGGGTGGCGAGTGGGTGACACACGCTCACTCGCAGACTGGACTGCCCAGGTTTTCCTTCCTAAGACCTACAGGCCCTCCGAGGGACGTCTCCCTGCAAAGGTGTGCCAGCTGGGCTGCTTGCTGGGGCGACCCACAGCAGCCCCCACCCCACGTCAGGCGCCGGGCCTCCATAAACCAGCCCAGCAGCCTGCAGCTGGGAACAGCCAGGGAATGTCCCCTCTGCCTGCCTCGGGGGAGCAGTGTCAGGAGAGCTGAAATATTAATCTGTGCACTGAGAGACAACCTGGGGTGGCCTTCAGCCTGGACGAGGTGGGCCTCACACAGAGGCCTCATGTGGAATTGTCCTCTGTGCACATGCCACAAGCAGGTGGCTGCTGGCAGCTCCAATTTGGGGACCTCTGGTCTGACTGTCCCCTTCCCTGTCTATACCAGCAAGGTTTGCCAGAAGTCAGATGTAGTTCTGTGAAGTTTATTTGGAAAATGGTGTTACCCTCAAAGGGGAAGGGTGTGCATGGAAGGCTGGGGTTTGTCAGAGATGGTGGCTGTTTCGTCTTTCCACCCCGGGCCATCTTCGGTCCCAGACATCACAGCACTCAAACTGCACCTGCACGCCTCCGCGAGTCTCTAAAAGATGCCACAACACCATGACATCACCTAAAAACATGTAATGATTCCTTAAGTCAGCAGATGTCCAAACAGAGTCGTGGGAATGTTTAAGGATGTCGTCATCTGAACAGAGACGTGGCAGGCAGGCCCCCGAATGGGCAGTGGCAGAACCTTCCCCCAGGTTCCCCAGAACAGACAGCGCCCTGCCTGCTGCCCCTGCCCTGGTCCTCCTGCAGCCGCAGGCCCCGCCCACGCCACCAGGGGCCCACCTTTAGCATTACTCCCTGTGCTCTGTTTTCAGGCCACCACATCCACCAACTGGATCCTGGAGTCACAGAATATCAACGAACTCAAGTCCGAAATTAACTCCTTGAAAGGGCTTCTTTTGAATCGGTAGGAGGCGAGGATGGGGACCCTGTTCTGGTTGGGGACTGTTCTGGAAACGGGGACTGGGAGCTCCGGGGCTTGTCTGAGGCATGGGAAGGGCGTGGCCCCCAGCCCTACCCCTAAGGACCCCATCTGTCTGGGCCACTCAGGCACTAGGTTTGGGACCTTTTGAGGTTCTATTTTCCTCCCCCAGTTGACCCTCTGCTCCATTCCAGCGGTGACGGTCTGGGCTACAAGAGTTTTGAAATACACAGTTTCCAGACCTGTCAAGACCTGGTCAGGGACAGCTTAAGCCAAAAAACAGGGCCCTTGGAGCAGAGGAGAACCTCCTGGGTGGCTCCTGCTCCTTCCTGAGCCCCAGGTGACCACTCAGTGACAGGTTTGTCCCAGGGGAAGTCCCTTTGGGGGTGGGGGAGTCTCTGCACTTTGTACTTGGAAGGGTTCCACGACTGAAGACATGGGTAGAAGCAGGCCCTGCCCCCCCAGCTTCTTGGTTGTCCCCCTGTTGTCCCTCGGCAGTGACAGCACATGGTCACCAGTGCAGCCTTGGAGGTAGGGTGACCAACTTGTTCTGCTTTGCCTGGGATTGTCCTGGTTTATTTATTTATTTTTATTTATTTATTTTGAGATGGAGTCTTGCTCTGTCGCCTAGGCTGCAGTGCAGTGGCACGACCTTGGCTCATTGCAACCTCTGCCTCCCGGGTTCAAGCAATTCTCCTGCCTCAGCCTCCTAAGTAGCTGGGACTACAGGCACCCACCAGCCTGCCCAGCTAATTTTTTGTATCTTTAGTAGAGGCGGGATTTTGCAATATTGGCCATGCTGGTGTTGAACCTCAGGTGATCCACCTGCCTTGGCCTCCCAAAGTGCTGGGATTACAGGCGTGAGCCACCATGCCTGGCCTGTTCTGGTTTTTTAAAATTGAAAGTCCAGTGTCCAGGAGCCACTCTGTCCTCCTGGGCTGATGCCCTGGGGGGGCCTTGTGTGGGGTGTCCTTGTTTCCCTGCTGGGCTGGGTTTGGTGGTTGCTGGGTGAGTGGGGTGGTGCAGGGTAGGCTCTTCACTAGGGTCTGGGATGGGGTGCGGAGGGTTCTTGCCGCTCCAGCCAGAAGATCCCATTTTCCAAGCAACTTCCTGGTGCTCCCTGAGGAAAAAAGCATTTCCTGGAGGAGGTGTGGCCACTCAGAGAGGGGCCAGAGCATTGTCATTAGGAGAGACCCTCCATTTCCCTAACCTGGATCAGTGCCTGAAGGCTGGGGATGCAGGGCAGGCGGCCCGTGACCGTGGAGCGGAGAAAACTGCATGCAGACTGTCTTGTTAGCGTTTAGGTGCTGATGAATAAAGCAGACCTTGGTGTGTGCCCTACTCAAGTGGGGTTTGAGGCGGGAGAGCTGTGTCTAAGGCCCTACTGGGGGAATAGCCTGTGGGCCTGGCTTTGTCCTGGCTCAGACAGAGATGAGCTGGCCTGTTGGACAGTTCTGTCTCTGAGCTGTTGCCAAGTGGACCTGACCTCCAGGTCCCTCCTGGAATTGGCTTTGGTCTGGGCTGGCTGCTGGCCCAGGAAGGGAATACGGAGCAGAAGGGAGAGCTGGCTCCTCCCCGTTGAAAGTGTTGAGCTCAGAGGTTTTCTAGCAAAGGGTACCACCACTGCCCTTTTGTTTCTGATGTGTCTGACCCCCCAACAATGGCCAGGGGTCCTTGCCTCCACCTTTTGCTCAGGCCATAAACAAATTGGGACTGTGGCTCAGGTGTCTGGAGTCCCCAGTCTTAGCCCTTTTAGGCTTCTCCCCACCCTGTCCCTCTCTTGGCCGATGGAGTGGAGGCAGGGACAGTGCTGAGGATCAGGAGGAAGCAGGCTCCTGTGTGCCAGGCAGGCCCCACCTGGCTTCCAGCAGTTGTCCAGGCAGGTGGGCCTCGCCCAGAGCAGGTGCCCTGGGGGACCCTGGGCTGTCTCTGGGGGCACAGGGCACTCCTGGCATCTATCTCAGCTATAGGATCTCCAGTCGGACAGGACGCTTTGCTCCTGTGTGAGGGCTCCGTCCTGTCCCTTGCCAGGTGGCTCTGGGGAAGCAGCTCACTGTCTTGGAGCCGTTGGAGATGAGGGAAGATGTAACCCTTTGAGGGAAGGAGTTTTGACTGCTGCCACCAACCTTTTCTGCTTCTCCCACCAGGCGGCAGTTCCCTCCGTCCCCGTCAGCCCCGAAGATCCCCTCCTGGCAGATCCCAGTCAAGTCCCCGTCACCCTCCAGCCCCGCAGCTGTGAACCACCACAGCAGCAGCGACATCTCACCTGTCAGCAATGAGTCCACGTCGTCCTCGCCTGGGAAGGAGGGCCATAGCCCCGAGGGCTCCACAGTCACCTACCACCTGCTGGGCCCCCAGGAAGAAGGCGAGGGGGTGGTGGACGTCAAGGGCCAGGTTCGGATGGAGGTGCAGGGTGAGGAGGAGAAGAGGGAGGACAAGGAGGACGAGGAGGACGAGGAGGATGACGACGTGAGCCACGTGGATGAGGAGGACTGCCTGGGGGTGCAGAGGGAGGACCGTCGGGGCGGGGACGGGCAGATCAACGAGCAGGTGGAGAAGCTGCGGCGGCCCGAGGGTGCCAGCAATGAGAGCGAGCGGGACTAGGGCCACGCCCGCCTTCAGCCCCAAGGACGGTGTCCAGTGTGCCAGTGCGTGCCCACGCCCTGCCTCCCGCTCTGGTCCTGGGAGGGCAGCTTGGAGCCCAGGTAGGGGACAGAGCTGTCCTCAGCTGTACTGCAACATGGCGGCAGCCATGTCGAAAGTCACATTCTGTCCACCTGGCCTCCTCTCGCCTGGCCACTAGCCCCAGCCCCAGCCCCAGCCCCAGCAGCCTTCGGCTTTGATCTCAAGTCAGGCTGAAGGCAGTGAAGCCTCAGGGCTCAAACCCCTGCCCAGCCCCCTCTCCCGGACAGACGCCTTGTCCAGGGTGTGTGTGCTGAGTGTCTTGACTACCGTGACACCACGCATGGCCAGAGCTAGTGTCCCTACTCTCTCCTGACTCCTCAATGGAGGAGGCGCTGCGGTCCCTCTGGTGTCTGCCGTCCCCTCTCTCCCTGGGCCCAGCCCTGGATCCCTCAGGTGCCTGTCCTCAGCCCAAGCTCCACCCGTGCCCCGTTGTCCTCCCAGACAAATGAAACCACGCTGTGCTTCTGATGCCCTCGCTTGCCGTGTAATGGTTCAGCTAATCCCATGGCGAGACGGCGCTCACTCCCTCGGAGGAGCCAGGCACGGGGCCTTCCTGACCAACAGCCAGCTCTGTCCTTCCCCCCCAAGAAACACATGTTCATTTGTGTGATCATGTATAGACCTCAGAACGGAAGATAGGACTGTATATAATTGTAATAAATACCAGTTGCCACTATTTAATTTCTGCCTGTGGCTCCCTGTCTCCTCACGGCACCCTGGCCCTGGGCCTTCTCAGCGCAGGCTCCAGCGGGTGAAGTGTGGGTGAGGGCCTACAGGCAGCTCACACCCTTCCCTGAGGCAATTTCCGAGCTGCTCAGCCAGAAGCAGAGGGCCTTGTTCCTCGTCCAGTGGCTGCCAGAGGATGACACTTTGCTGACCGCAGGAGGAGCAGGGACCTCATGTGACTGTATATAGACCTATGCGGAGTGAGGAGCTTTCCTCCCTAAAATGGAGGAATGCTTCCCCGGGAGGGAGTGTGGCGTCCTCTGTCTCCCTGTCTCCTCCGGCTTTTGCCCTCCCAGTCCCACTTTCTACTTCACAGAGCATTTGGCTAACACCAGAAGAGCAGAGCCACATGCTTCTCGATGGGTGCTCCTGTTCCCTCCAGCCCCCAAGGGTCAGGACCAGGCTGGTGGGCTGCAGACGCCCTGTTGTCCATGTGCCTCTGTGGACACAATGGCTTAGGAAATAGGAAGTCCTGGGTAGCCCTGCAGGTGGGGCCTCCATGCACCTGCCCTGTCCTGGGAGGGAGGAGGCCATGCAGTTGGGCTGAGACTTGGCTTAGGGGCTGTTTTGTCCCGGATGTTTTGCTTTCAGCCCCTACAGCAAACCCTTCTTAATACTGGGACCACAGGGCCCGCTGAAGTGACAGGTCCCCAGGCCCGGGCCGCCCCTACACACTGAAGGGTACCCAGGCACAGGTCCACCTCCACCCACTGGAGAGTCTCTGAGACTGGCCTGCCCCCACCTGCTGGAGAGACCCGGGGGGTCATCCCCACCCACTGGAGGGTCCCTGGGAGCAGGCTGCTCCCATCCGCTGGAGGGTCCAGCCCCAGTTTGGTTTCTGGCCTTCGGGGTTGTGTCTTTCATGCTTGTCACCTCGAAGGACACTCCTGCAGCTCCTGTTTCCAGCCACATGTTCACCGGGGACAAGCCCAGTTCCGAGTCACACCGGCTTGTTCTCCCTTTTTCCTGGCCTCCTTACTGTCCCTGAAGAAGCAGGTGTCTCAGTTCCCAGGGGCTGCCACGCTCACCTGGACGAGGGGGTCCTGCCTGCCAGGCCCCAAGAGTCCCTGTGTCTGGGAGCAGACAGGTGGGCCAGGCTTCGGCCAGCCCTGGGGACAGTGACTGCCCATGTCCCCCCCTGGGCCCTGCTGTGCCGCAGGCCTGCATCGTGGGTGAGTTGGTTCCCAAGGAGTCCTGACCCCCTGTCATTTGCTGCCCATTGGCTATTGTAAGTTTTTAGAGGTCCCTCCCAGAGACCAGAGGTCCCTCCCAGGTACTCTGGAAGGGAAGGGAAGCCAGGGCTGTGGAGTCGGTGCCATGGAAGTGAAGTGCCAGCTCCCCAGCTCCATTTCTCCCTGGAGAGCTGGGGCCACCGAGAGAGGGATTCCCTGGGGCTTCACTGTCCCTGGGGTGGGAGCAATGAAGGCCTCATGGGGCGAGCATTCTCCAGCCTGAGGGGTCAGAGGGCCGGCACATCCCTGAGGCTCTAGTTCGGAGGGAAAGAGACAGAAACCTGGGCCCAGAGGCCTTTTGCCCCTGTGGGTCCTGAGCACCGAATTCGGCTTTTGAGGACAGAGAATCTGGCCTGATTTCAGGGAGAGAAAAACCCCTCCCCAAAACGGCAGGAGTGCTGCCTAATAAAGCCAGCTGCTGGACCAGGGAAAACAGCCCTTTGAAAAAAAAGCCTTTCATTAGAAAAATAATGCATTTCATCCAAATAAGGTAAAAATATTCGGAATGGGGCAGAAGTAAGCGGCAGGCAGCGCCTGTCAGGCCCTTTCTGGAAGAGAGAAGATTATCAAACTCAATTACACTGTGTTTTTATAGAGTGTCTTTTAGGAAGGAACCAGCCCCGTGCTTGGAGGCCGAGGGACAGCTGCCCTGACCTCACCCGGACCAGCTCCCTTGTTCCCAGGGTCTGTCACGGCTCCTCTGGTGACTTGCTCGTTCTGCCTTGGGCAGGGGCATCTTGTTTGGGAAGGACAGGGGACCTCCCTTGATGTTTGCCACACGCTGAAGCAGGCCAGGAGGCAGGCAGTTTCCTTCGGGGGATGGTAGAGTCTCTGCCACCAGGGGCTGCCCTATCCTTTAAAAGCTAGGGCTCCCAGAGCCACCCCATCCCAGGACCCCCGCTGGGTTGGCAAAAGGGGCTGCTGAGTTTGTACCCACAGGTGAGATATATTGCAAAGCCGACCTGAATAGTAGGGACAGAGATGAGAGATTCGAGAAGCTGCCACCTCCCCATCGGCTCTCTGTGTGCCCAGAGTCTCTTTCCTTCTTTCTTTCTGTTTCTAATAAAACGCATCTGAGCAAGCTGTGTTCATCCGTCAGGGCCCTCCCACCCAGGTAGAGGTGGGAGAATTTTCTAGAAGTTTTCGTTTCTGCCCTCCCCACCTCGACCCAGCCTGGAGCACGGAAGGCGCTGGGGTTCCAGCCTGGGCCCAGACCCCTCACTCTCTAGGTGACCACCCTGCTGCTGCCCCAGAGCCCAAGCAGGGGCCATTCTCCAAGGGTCAGACAGTTCCATCCCCAGCAGTTAACTGAATGCATCTGTTTGTTTAAAATGGTTTCTACCCAGGTTCCAAAGAAGAGGTCAGAGACTCCAGACAGGGCAGGCGCAAAGGCGCCAGTGAGACCCCCATGCTGGTGGGGGTTCCAGCCTCAGGTGACGTGCTGGGGTAGCACCCAGGCAGGCCTCGAGGGCCTGGCCGCTCTTCCTGCCCCTGCTTTTTTGCTGTGCACAGGAGCCGGGCCACTGCCTGGCCGGGGGAGCCACACCTGAGCTGGCACGTGCTGACTTGCTGTGCACATGCGTGTGGCCCCCTCACACTCATGCAGGGCCCAGTGGGGCCTGGTCCTCTGTGAGAGGTCCCTCTCCCCTTCCCCCACACCTGCCCACGAAGGCCACAGCTCAGACCACAGCCCAGACCACAGCCCTCAGGCACTCTCTTTAATGCAAAACAGGTCTGAAGTCTCGCCTGGCATTGAGAGATGACTTTACCTGAATCATGAACAAACCTTAATAATTTAGTTTCGTCGAGCATTTTAAAGTTTGTGTTCTCCTAGAAGAGGAAATGAGATAGATGTGCTATATGTAAGAAGGATGCCTGACACCTTTTCTTTCTCCACGACAGATACTAGAACCTTCTTTTTTTTTTTGAAACGGAGTGTCGCTCTGTTGCCCAGGCTGGAGTGCAGTGGCACAATCCTGGCTCATTGCAACCTTCACCTTCCGGGTTCAAGCGATTCTCCTGCCTCAGCCTCCTGAGTAGCTGGGAATACAGGTGCCCGCCACCACACCCGGCTAATTTTTTGGTATTTTTAGTAGAGAGCCCGCCACCACACCCGGCTAATTTTTTGGTATTTTTTAGTAGAGACGGGGTTTCACCATGTTGGTCAGGCTGGTCTCAAACTCCTGACCTCAGGTGATCTGCCCACCTCGGCCTCCCAAAGTGCTGGGATCACAGGCGGGAGCCACTGCACCTGGCCAGGATCTTCTTTTTAGAGTCATGGCTTTAAACACCGCCGTGACACTCCAGGCCTAGATGCGTTATAGACCCAGAGGGAGGAGCAGCCTCAGGGAGGCTCTGGGCAGGGAGGTTCTTTCTTGGGGAACCCTGCCTCTCTCCAGTGGTGTGGGGTGTGGGGCTTACTGGAGGCCAAGCCACTGGTTCCGGCTTCTCCAGTGCTGGCTGTGAGCCTCCTGGGAGCCGATTCCTGCCTGACCTACCCCCAGAGGGTGCCGAGGCACTTCCCAGCAAGGGTGACCAGGGCCTGGCTCCTTCATTCTCAAGGCCTCGGGATTCCAGCCGTTTGGAGAGCCCTGCTGCCAGCCCTGGCCCTAGGCCAATGCCACCTGTGCGGATGGGGTTACCTCCCGTGACAGTGGATCGACAACTGGCCTTTGCCCAGCGGCCTGGTATGCTGCCCAGAGAGTTGCCTGCTGCCGTGTCCAGGCTGGGGCAAGGCTGCTTGGTGAGTGCCAAGTCCCGGCACCCGGGGATGACTCAGGCTGCTGGTAGCGCCCCTGCAGGGCCAGGTCTGTGGGAGGTGGGCAGGCCCCTGAGCTCAGCCCCGAGCCTGTGTGGCGGGTTCTGGCCCTTTCCAAGAGGTTACAAAACTCTTGAATTTGCCCCAGTTTGGGTGTAGGAGCATCACACACCACAGCTAATTAAATCCCAGAAGGAAAACAAGCCTTACTGCATTTCCTGCTGAGTCCAACAAGCCACAGGGAGTGCCGTGGGCCCTGGGCCCGGCCCCACCCGAAGCCGCAGGCCCCCTCCCAGCTCTGAGGGGTTGGTCTGAGAGTGGGCACACATGCCTGGTGGGGGTGTGGGCTTCTCTCCATCCTCTGGGGCAGGGCCTGGGACATGGTACCACGGGCTGGCCTGGGTGCAGCGTCCTGCAGCCCTGAGATGCCTCCGAGAGGTCCCTGAGTCCCCGTGCCCCTTCCCTGGCTGGACTTGAGGCCCTGCCTGTCGTGAGGCTAATTCAGCCCTGGGTGAGGCCTGCTGCGGTCCATCCAGGCCAGAAGACCAGGGGGCAGTTTTGGGGTCTGGCCAAAGGCAGCAAATTGGCCTGAGTCCCCATCCTCCCTCCCCTGGGCCTCAGGAGTCAGTGCTGCCCCAGAGAGCTGCCCACCGTGCCGGGGCCTAGAGGGAGCCCTGTGGCCAAACCAAGCTGGTCGGGCTTGGCTCCCTGCCTTGCTTCAAGCCCCATGGGAGGCCCACCAGGGCCTGGGAAGCTCCAATAATGGTTTTAATTTGTTGAACTTGTGTTTTATCCCATAAATTAGTCACTGTTTTATTTAACAGAATCAAGATATCCACAAACAATAGGCGAGTTCCAACTTGAACATTTTAATAAGACAGAAAAAAGTATATATTTTCGTGTCTGTTACAAACATATTTATGTAAATAGCCTGTGGGCTGCGTTCCAGGAGGAAAGAAGAAAGGGAGTGCCCATGCGCTGGGGCTGGGCTGGAGACGTACTTCTGCGGTGGGAAATGATATGGGCCTGGGCGCTGTGGGCTAAGGCCACTCCCCTGCTGTCCCTGGTCCCTGGTGCCTGGCCAGCTGGTGCCAGGCTCAGTGAGGGAGATGCACGCTTTGGTCACGGAACCTCTCCAGCCCCCTGAAGTCTGCCTGTTTCCTCATCATGGAAGTGGATGTGACATCCCTGTGGTTGGGGTGTGACAAACCAGTAAGACTCAGTGTGGAAGAACGTGGTGGGCCCTGCACGTCCTCTCCTCAAGGCCCCAGGAAGCTCCGGACACCTGGAGGCCAGCTCAGGGGAGGGCTGCCAAGGTGGTGGTGTGAGAAGCCGGCCACCAGTTGAAAGTGTCAGGGCAAACTCCTGGAGCGCCTGGGAGGCCTGCACTCCAAGCTAGGCCTGGTGGGTACTCTGGCCACTGTGCTTCCAAGGGAGCCAACCACGGTGCCACCAGGGCTGGCAGCTTAGGCTCTGGGTCGGTGGCTACAAACCCAAGAATTATCAGCCCCCTCTGGCTCTGCCACCCAGTGCTCCAGGCAGGAGCTGCGCCAGCATCCGGATTGGATCCGGGTACGCGCCGTTCCCAGCCTGGGCAGGTCCCTGCAGGAAGGAGGAAGGAGCCGAGGGAGGAGGCAGGAGGGTGGCCCTGCCAATGCCGGCCCAGCAGCCCAGCAGGAGAGGAGAGGGTTGACTGGGGTGGGTGTCCTGGGAGGCCACAGAGCCTTTGTCCTACCCCCCCAGGCCTTGGTGTCAAATGGCTTTGCCTGAAGGTGGCTCCTGAACCCCAAGTGGGGGCTTCAGTCAAGGCTGGGGAGGAGGCCACCCTTCTGGCCAGGCCAGGCTTGAGTCCCGTATCTCTGTACCCAGTAGCCTGGGAGAACCTGGCCTCATGCCTAGAGACAAACTGGTCTGTTTCCCCCTTTTCCTGTCAGGGTCCAAGGGTTCCCAACTCTGCCCCCCTCACCCTACTGGTGTAGCTGGGTCATGGATGCTTTTAAAAATAAAAGATAACTTGATAGATTTTTTTCCAGTTTTTATTGAGTGAAAATGTCAAACCTTGCATCAGTCATGCAAAAAAAAAAAAAAAAATCAAATAAATAAAACACATATATTAAATTTCTAATAGCACTAAATTCAAGTGGAAAAATATTCAGTTCTTGATAACCAGGTGCCGAGGAGACCAGATTCAAGTAATCAGAGCACACGATGTTCAGTTCGGGTTTCACGTTCTGCATTTTTTTGTCTCAAAACCTCTCTATATATCTCTATATATCTATATATGTATATACATATAGATATATACACACACATATGTGCATACATGTTATTTTATATTTATATATATACACATACATAGTTATAAAACATTAAAAAGAGCATTGGTGGATCAAGCATTGTCTTCCCCACAGAAAGAAAATAAAACAAAAATTACACGTTAAAATTCAAAATGAGCTAGCAATGGCTTATAGTCCTAGTGTGCAATATGAAGGTTACAGAAGGCTAGACTTCGCACCGTCGGCATCTTCTTTTTTTCTTTTTAGTTTGATTTTGCTACATTGAAAACGTGTGTGTGTGTGTGTGTGTGTGTGTGTGTGTTTTCCTTTACAAAACTTCCACAGGCGCCCGGGGCCTGTGGCTGGTCACGGTTTGGGCAGATGCTCACAGCAGCACGTGGTGTCCGCAGAGTTCAGGAGGCTCTGGTAGGGGCTGTTTTAGAAACAATTCATTTCCTGTTGAATCAGGTACGCTCTGTCCGACCACTCCTCCCTCCCTGTGCCCTGTCCAGTTGGGGTGGTCCTGGCTTACTGACTGTGGGCAGCCGAGAGGACAAAAGAAAGGAAGAAAAAAGGGAAAGTAAACCACTGCCCCTCAGTTGAGCCAGGTTCCCCGTGGAGCTCTCTGGGAAGGAGGCCTCTCGGTGACAGCCTCCCCCTGCAGCCCTCCATTCCCTGCTAGGCCCGTTCTCTCCCTCCCTGTGGCCCGATCCGACACTAGCTGGTGGCCTGGAGTAGGGGAGGTGGGCAGGTGTGGCCTCAGGTAGCCTGCCTTCATAGGGAACTCGGTCCCTGGGGACCTCAGAGCCACCAGCCAGGTGTGTGCCTGCCAGGTCAGGCCCTGGTCCGGGCTCCGACGGCCTTATCATCTCCAGGCAGGGGCATGTTTTGCAAAGGGAACCAAACCTGGGTAGACTGCACCAGCAAAGCAGCATCCCAAACAAAGTAATAAAACAAACGAAAAAAAAAGCCCTATAAAGCCACACACGTCACCAATAGAGAACTCAAATGTTAAATAACTACAGACTTGGATCAACAGTAAGAGTCCTTTCTTCTTGTCTCTATAAAATTCAAGTTAAGAGTTGGAATCACGCAGCTCCCATCAGTGCTAGTGTGAAGACAGACAGCCTCAAACTGATAAGGCCTCTACAAAAAACTCTGGACCAAATCCCACAGGAGAAACGGGGCTGACCTCCGACCTCAGGCCGGGCCGAGGCAGGTCTGCACTCACCACACCTGCTTTCTTCCTTTTTGTTCTATGCAGAATAATAACCTTTACAGGAAAAATACTGTACAACTTTCTTGTATTTTTTTCCACTTTGAATATTAAAGCCAAAACCAGGCGCATCCTTCCTGTTTCCACCCCCGGGGTGGCCCAGACCCTGCCCCGGACCCCAGCGGGCTGCTCTGGATTTTGGATGCAGCCTCTGTTTCCCTGGGGCGGAGGCCGAGGCCAGGGAGTCCCCACACAGACCCCACCCTGCCCTCGGGGAGCAGCCTGGCCCTGGGGTGGGGTGGGGCCGAGCTGGAGCTACTCCCAGGAGGCTTCCTCCGCGGTCCCTGTAGTGTCACCCGTGATGACCGCCTTCTGTTCATCTCCCCCTGGGCAGGGGGAGGATCCTAGCTGCATGAGGGAGGCCCCGCCAGCGGCTCCAGGGGCCACCCCGCCCTGGTGGCGCGGGGTGGGGGGTCCCGGTGGCCCCCAGCGCCCGTCCCAGTCCTGAGCAATGGTCGCGGGGTGGGGCGGCCGCGTGGAGGGGCTCCGGGGCGGCGGCCGAGGGCTGTGCCCCCTCGCCCGGGACCCCTGCTCCTCGGTCCCCTCCGCCGGGACAAGAGCACCTTCTGTTTCCCTGAAGAGACCCGGCCTCCCTAGAGCAGGGCCGCCGCCGCCGCCAGTGTCCTCGGCCGCGGAGCACCAGAGGGGTCCCCGCTTCTGTCCTGAGACGGACTCGGGGTCCGGAAGCACCGGCGGGGCGCGGGGCTCTGCCCAGGGGGCGTTTCGCGTGAGGCGGCGCCGCTCTCGAGGCCGAGGTCGCGGCCGCCGCCAGGGCAACCCGCGGGCGCCGCTAGGGCGAGGAGGCGGCGGTGGGCGCGGGGCCGGGAGCGCCGAGGGCTGCCAGCGCCGCCAGGGTCGGGGTCCGCGCGCCGGCTCCCGCCGCCTCCGCCGCCGCCGCGTCGGGCAGCGACTCCTCCGAGTCGGTGCGCAGGTCCTCGTCGTCGTCGTCCTCGTCGTCGTCCTCGTCGTCGTCGTCCTCATCGTCGTCCTCATCCTCGTCGTCCTCGGCCTCCTCCTCCGGCAGCTCCAGCTCCTCCTCCTCGTCCTCCTGCGAGGACTCCCCGGCGGCGGCGGCGGCGGCGGGGGCGAGGGCGGGGGCGCCCTCGCGCGGCCCGGGGGCGGCGGCGTCGGGCGGGCCGGGGTCGCCCGTGTCGCCCAGCGCCAGGCCCAGGCCGGCGGCCGCCGACTGCAGGAAGAGCAGCGAGCCCGGCTCCGCGCCCAGCGACAGGGATCCGTCCAGGCTAACAGGCGGCGCGGTGGCTGGGCCCTCGGCCGCGGGCTCGCCGCGCTCCTGCTTCTCGTGCTTGCGCTTGTGCGAGTCCATCTGCGACATGCCCACCACCGTGTGGCGGCAGCCCGGGAAGGTGCAGTGGAAGTGCGAGCACTTGAGCTTGTACTTGCAGTCGGGCACGGCGCAGTCGGCGCTGGAGCTGAACTGGCAGAAGCCCGCGGCGCTGATCACGTCCTGCTTGCCGTGGTGCTTCCGGTGGGCCGTGACCTTGGTGCTGTCGGTGCAGCGGAAGCGGCAGCGCAGGCAGTGGAAGTGCGTGCTGGTGCCCGAGAAGGGGCAGTCGGCGAAGTGGCAGCTGAGCGAGGCCTTGAAGCGCTTGAAGTCGTCCAGCACCAGGTTGTCCACGCGGTCGTGGTGCTGCGCGTGCTTGTACATGTGCGTGCGCCCGCAGAACTTGTAGCCGCAGTTCTCGCGCGTGCAGTGGTAGTGGGTGACCTTGAGCGAGAACTGGCAGGCCGCGTCCTTGCAGTCCTCGTAGAGGTCGAAGCGCCGGAAGCCCTCCAGCATCATGCCCTCGTCCAGCATCTTCCGGGAGGACGCCGTCTTCCGCCGCTTGCCGAAGGGCGACATGTCCTCGATGATCCAGAAGCGCTTCTTGGCCCCTGAGGCTGTTGGCATGGAGATGGTGTTCCCTGGGGAGGGGCGGGGAGGTCAGCGCAGAAGAGGTGCCCACGTGGGCACCATCCCAGGGTAACACCCACATGGGGCCCCTGACCTGGCACGGCGCCAGAGGGAGGCATTTGGGGAGCCCTCGGCTTCCCCTGGCTCAGGAGGCCTCTCCTGCCCCGCCCCCTCCCTACCCCCACCACAGCAGGGGTCCCGGGCTTCCCCTCCTTGTCCCCTACGGCACAGGCATCTGCCCTGGGATGGCAGCCTAACCAGCTCTGGGGGACGTGGTGGCAGCTTCCTGGCCAGTTTGGGTGGGAAGTGAGGACACGTCCTGGCGCTAATTGAAGCTGAAGGGGGAATCTAGGTCGGCAGAGTGCAATTACCCAAGTTGGACCCGGGCCAAGACGCCAGCTAGGCCTGCCTCTAATGAGGGACAGGCCGGCTCCTTTCCCGGCGGCTACCGGCTTCCCTGGCTGCGCCTGTCTGCACAGGGGGAGCTGCCTACTCACAGTAGGGGTGCCAAGCGCCCCAGGGCTGTGCGAGGTGGCAACTCCCTGTCCCGAGGAGCACCTTGTCCTTGGTACCAGAAGGTTCTTTAAGGTCTTGTTGGGATTTTCTGCCCCAAGGGCTGAGAGAGCGCATCCCTGCTGCAGGACCAGGCCTCAGGGAGCTAAGTGCCTTTGCCCTCAGCTCAGAGGCTTTACCTGGGTCAGGGCCAGGGCAGGGGCTCAGCCAGGGGGAGCTGAGCCCATCTATGCCCAGCTGGCACAGACTGATTCCCAGGATTTAGGATGCCCCCCTGCCAAGGCCAGGGTTGTAACCCTTTCTGGGAGGCACCTGTGCCCCTATGGCCATGGGTGACGGGAAGGAAGCCCCAGCTCCTGCCAGTGGCATAGGCACCTGGTCCTGGCTCCCCACGACACCCCCACAAACAACAAGAGAAGCTCTCTGACCAGCTCCACCAGAGCAGGGGTGGCCTCAAAGCCTCCCACATGGCTGACCCGCCCGGCTCTCCCAGAGCCTGCTGAGAAGGCCAGGCAGTCACTATGGCCACCAAACATCTGCCTGCCAGTCTGAGGCCAGGCCCGAGTGGACAGAAATGGAGATAAACTAAGGACTGTGATGGTGTGGGGGCACCCAGGCAGGGGACAAGGGATGGCCTCAGGTGCAAAACCTGGGTGGGTCAGGAGCTGCTATGGGTCTGAAGTCACAGGATGTGGTGATGCCAGAGTGGAGCTTCCAATGGCCGGAAGTCCCTGAGGGTGGGAGGCTCAGCCCTGCCCTGGCCATAACTCCTGGGGCCTGTGCTCAGGCTGAGCGTGAGGCAAGAATCACCAGGGGAGTCGGAGCCCGGGTGGTGTCTACACTCAACAGATGGGGTGGGCAGATGCCATCGCTGTGGGTATCAGATATGGGGGTGGGATGGGAGGTGCCTCTGCCCTGAGCACTGACGAGGCCTGAGTCCTCAGAGATTCCCACTTTCTGCTCAGCTTTGGGGGTGGGCTGGGTTTTAGGCTGGGATCTGTACCCTCTGAACCTGCGCAGGCCCCAGACTCCAGCAGACCCACAAAGCATCCTCTGCCTCTCCCTAGTACCAGATCCCAGAGGGCCTCCTGAAAGTAGAAGGGACATGTCCTGCCTCGCCCCAGGCCGAGGGAGGCAGATCCTATAGGGCCTCTGGCAGGACTGGCCATCTCTGGGCCTCTGAGCTGTTGTGAACAGGGAGAATCCCTGGTGGCAATGCTCTGGCCTGCCCAGCGCTGAGCAGGAGCCACGAGGAGCTGTCTTTGTGACAGAGACCACACTGTCTAGTCTCAGAGATGCTTGGCTGTTAGGGGTGCAGAGCAGCCCCATCTGTGGCTAGCTAGCTGGCTGCAGAAAAGGGTCAGGCCCCGGAGCGTGACGTGGAGGGTGGGTTGGGGTGACAGACAGCAGTGAGAAGGCGTGTGTGCATTACCTGCAGCATCCTGAACTAGGGGGACGTCACTTTTTACTGGAGTTGGAGTGGCAGTGATGGGCGGGAAGCTGGGCGGGCTGCAGGTGGGGTGGGCCAGGCCCCGGCTGGCTCCAAGAGTGGCACTGAGCAGAGAGTATGAGAGACAGGACGGAGAGAAGAGGCAGGGGAGGGGGGGAAGGGGCGGCCGGAGCGTGGCCGGCACGAAGGATGGAGTCGCTGGCAGCTGCGGGGCCGCTCGGGCAGCCTCATCACCAGCGGCCACAGGAGGAGGAAGAGGAGGAGGAGGAGGAGCCGGGCAGCCTGGAGAGGGTGGAGAAAAGCAGAAAAAAAAAAAAGAAACCAAAACAAAGAACAAACAAACAGAAAGAACCAAAATGAGAAACCCGATGGCAGAAGCAGGTATGGCATGAAAATGTATGCACGGATGAGAGAGAGAGGGACACAAGAAGAGGGGGAAGGAAGAGAGAGAGGCGGGGCGTGCCGGGGGTCACGTGGGCAGGTGTGCGGGGGCAGGGCCGGTTGGGAGGCAGCAGAGGAAGGAGGCTGGGGCTGCACTGCTCCCACTGAGGCCCAGGGTCCTCTCCTGGAAACTGACACGAAGTGCAGCGCCGGGGAAGCAGGAGGATAGTGGAAGGGACCCAGTGCCACAGACCAGCTGGCTCTGCTGCATGCCATCCTGTCCTCCTTGGAGGCCATGCCCCGGACCTTCTGTCCCAAGCTGCACCCAGTGGGGCTAGGCTTTGGGAGTGGGGCCCGGCCCTGCCAGCAGCCCCCACCTGGTGCTCACCTGCTGAGGTGCTCTCGTTGCCCACAGGGGTGCTGGAGCAGCTCCGGTCCATGGTGGATGACTCAGATGACACGGCACCCGGGCTGCAGCCGGTGTAGTCCATGCACTCATCTGTCTCAGCATCCATCAGGCTTGGGGGGCCCTGGAAGGACATGGGGGTCCCTGAGAAAGTGGGGCTGAGGGGGATGTTGCCTGCAGTGGGCAGGATGAGGTTCCACGAAGCACAGGCCTGAGAGGAGAGTGGGACCGTGATGTACTCCCAACACCCTGGCTGGGCTCTCACCTTCGGGGGGCTCTCACCTTGGGGGGCTCTCACCTGGGAGGCTGTCACCTGGGGAGACTCTCACCTTGGGGGGCTCTCACCTGGGGGGCTGTCATCTTCGGGGACTCTCATTTTGGGGGGCTGTCACCTGGGGGGCTCTCACCTGCAGGGGGTTTCACCTGAGGGACTCTCACCTTCAGGGGCTCTCACCTGGGAAGGGGGTTATCACCTGGGGAGGTCCTCACCTGGGAGGGGGGCACACGGTCGAAGTTCTTCCCTAGCATCCTCCGCATGTGCTTCCGCGCGTGGGAGGTCATCTGGTGCTTGAGGAGGAAGGAGAACTGGCAGCCCTCCCGGATGCAGTGGAAGTGGCTGTTCACCTGGTTGTACTTGCAGCCTGTGGACACAGCCCCACCTGGCGTAAGCCCCCCAGCTGGCCAGCGCTCACAGCTTCCTGGGTGTGTCGGTCACTGTTCTGGGCTTGGGGGCAGTGTGGCCGACAAGGCAGATGGTGTCTGAGGACGAGGGCCTGAGCCGGGGCGGCACACTTAGGAGGAAGGT